GGGATGTCCTGGGGGGGGGTCACTGGGGTGTGATCCCCATTTTTGGGGGGTTCAGTGGGCTGGAATCCCCTTCTTTGGGGAGTGTGATCCTCCTCTGTGTGGGATCAGTGTGGTGGGATCCTTTTTTTGGGGTTCAGTGGGGTGGGATCCCCTTTTTGGGGGGATCAGTGGGGCGGGATCCCCTCTCACTGCGGACAGAGCGATCCGGTTCCCCTCAGGTGGGTCAGGCCGGTGGGACCCCATCCCTCGGGGGACAGCACAGAAATGTTGCGGCGGTCCCCAGATCCCCGTGGGGGGAGCAGTGGGGTGGGGATTTGCCCTCGCGGAGAAGGCAGAGCCCGGTGCACCGGCGGCACTACAGCGACACCGGAGCCGTGAGGCGGACACGGTGCCCGGGCGGGGAGGTGCTGTTACCCTCGGCCGCGCGGGGCGGGCACGGGCCCGGTGAGGGGCGGGCCCTGGGGGCGGTGCTGTGACCGGGGGTAGAGCGGGCCCGTCACGGCCCCGGTGCGGCCTCGGCCGCGGTCACGGCGCCCGCCCAAGGACAAGCGCGGGACACGTGCGCCGCCATTACCGCTGACCTTCGCCCGGGGCACGCCCCTTCCCACCGCACCACCCTATCAGACCGCAGCGCGTTTTGATTGATGGATCCACAACCCAATCGCGACGAGGCGCAGCGTGGGCGCCGCATCGCGGTGACCAATGAGAGCGCGAATTCGCGCAGCGCCTCTCCGCGGAGCAGCCAATGGGCGCGCGGTGCGGCGGTGACGCACGGCTCGGCGGCCCCGCCCCGCGGGGGCCGTGAGGGGCGGGCGGGACGCGGGGCTCAGTCGGCGCCGCCATGTTGGGGCTCGCGGGTCGTTCAGCTGCCGCCGCCGCCGCCGCGGCCCGGCCGCTGCTGCCCCGCGGGGCCGCCCCGGGCCGGGATCTCCTCCCGCTGCTCCTCAGCCGCGGGGCCGCCCCGGCTGCCGCCGTCGGGGCGCGTGAGTGCGGGGCGGGCCGGGGTCACCTTGGGGCCTACGCGGGTGGGGGACGCGGGGTTCCGGTGCTTAAGGCCCCGGTACCGGGGTGGGGTGTGCCGTGCTGAGCGGATGGGCTGCGGCAGAGGAGCTGCGGCTCCGGGGATGGGCGGGGGGGGCTGCAGGGACTGCGAGTGTACCGGGGGAGGAGTCCTGGCTGCGCTGAGGGGAGGGGGCTCAGGGGGCCCTGGCAACGCTGAGGGGGCTGTGGTAGCGCTGAGGGGGCTCAGGGGGCTTTGGTAGCGCTGAGGGGGCTCAGGGGATCCTGGTATCACTGAGAGGCTATGGGGGTCCTGGCAGCACTGAGGGGGCTCTGGTATCACTGAGGGGATTCAGGGGGTCCTGGCAGAGCTGAGGGGATCCGGGTGCTCCCACACTGGTCCCAGCCGCACCGAGGAGGGGCCTGGGTGGGTTAATGCTGCACCGAGCGGGCTGTGGGATCCATGGTCAGTTTAGGGGGTCCTGCGTACACCCAGGGAGGTTCAGGGGTCTCGGGCACACCCCAAGGCTTGCAGGGCAGCCCCATCTCCGGACCCGGAGCTGCCGTGCCCCGGCCGACCTTGACTCGTCCCTCTCTCCCCCCACAGGACGGGACTATGCCGCCCAGGCAGCCCCCGCGGCCAAGGCCGGCTCCTCCACCGGCCGCATCGTGGCCGTCATCGGCGCCGTGGTGGATGTGCAGTTCGACGAGGGGCTGCCCCCCATCTTGAACGCCCTTGAGGTGCAGGGCAGGGAGACGCGGCTGGTGCTGGAGGTCGCTCAGCACCTGGGTGAGCAGCTGGGGATATGGGAGGGGGGGTTCCTCCTGTGATGATGTTGTCAATGACTTTCGTTCTCCTGAGCTTGCTGAAGCCAAGGATTTCAATCTGAGGAGGAAAATGGCTGCCCGAGGGCTGCACGGCTCAGTTTTCCTCAGGGCTATTTTATTCCTGCTGCTCCTCTTGGTTCTTTTCCCAGCACAATGTCCCCTTGGCAGGGCCTGGGGAAGCCACCAGCAGCTGTCCCCAGGGTCAGCCTGAGGACACTGTGGTGACTATGATGTCCTTGGGCCTCGGCAGGGGAGAACACCGTGCGCACCATTGCCATGGACGGTACGGAAGGGCTGGTGAGAGGACAGAAAGTTCTGGACTCTGGTGCTCCCATTCGCATCCCCGTGGGCCCCGAGACCCTGGGCAGGATCATGAATGTCATTGGGGAACCCATCGATGAGAGGGGCCCCATCACCACCAAACAGTGAGTGCTGAGGGGCTGGGGGGCACCCAGGGCTGAGCAGGGAGGTGGCTCTGGCTCCTCTGGGTCACAGCAGGGACTGTCCCCTGCCAGCCCTCAAGCTGGGGGGCTCAGAGCAGCTGCCCACCCCCTTCTTCTCCTCTTCCTGCTGCAGGTTTGCTGCTATCCACGCCGAGGCCCCTGAGTTTGTGGAGATGAGTGTGGAGCAGGAGATCCTGGTGACAGGGATCAAGGTCGTGGATCTGCTGGCTCCCTATGCCAAGGGTGGCAAGATTGGTAAGTGACCCCCAGAGCAGGGGTTGGGTCTGGGGATGGTCCCTCTGGGATTTCCAGCAGTTCCCTCTAGGGAATTTTTCCTTCACTGATGATTCACCCCATGACTTTCGTTCTCCTGAGCTTGCTGAAGCAACGCTTTTTATATCTGAGGAGGAAAGAGCCGAAGGGAGACCCTGTGGGCAGCCAGGCTGGCTTGGGGCTCAGCAGAACCTTTATTTCCCCTTCTCCCAGGATTGTTTGGAGGTGCTGGTGTGGGCAAGACTGTGCTGATCATGGAGCTGATCAACAACGTGGCCAAGGCCCACGGTGGTTACTCGGTGTTCGCCGGGGTGGGCGAGAGAACCCGCGAGGGCAACGACTTGTACCACGAGATGATCGAGTCTGGGGTCATCAACCTCAAAGATGCCACTTCCAAGGTATGCAGACACCCTGAGGGGGGGTCAGCAGGGGAGCTTCTGGTGCCAGGTGTGGCAGTGCCACCGTGCTGACCCCATTGTCCGACCCGCAGGTCGCCCTGGTGTACGGGCAGATGAACGAGCCCCCGGGCGCCCGTGCCAGGGTGGCCCTGACAGGGCTGACGGTGGCCGAGTACTTCAGGGACCAGGAGGGTCAGGACGTGCTGCTCTTCATCGACAACATCTTCCGCTTCACCCAGGCTGGCTCCGAGGTCTGTGCTGGCCATGGGACATTTCACCTGTCCCCCACCTGCCCAGCCCCTCGTGCTGTGTCACTCACGCTCTGTGCCCTCACAGGTGTCAGCCCTGCTGGGCAGAATCCCCTCGGCTGTGGGCTACCAGCCCACGCTGGCCACTGACATGGGCACCATGCAGGAGAGAATCACCACCACACGCAAGGGCTCCATCACCTCCGTGCAGGTGAGGGCAGGACCTCCCTCAGCATCCCAGGGAGCTGTGCCACCTACATGAGACCAACTGTCCCCTCCCCTCTGTGTCCCCAGGCTATTTACGTGCCAGCTGATGACTTGACTGACCCTGCACCCGCCACCACCTTTGCCCACTTGGATGCCACCACGGTGTTGTCCCGTGCCATCGCCGAGCTGGGCATTTACCCTGCCGTGGACCCCCTGGATTCCACCTCTCGTATCATGGACCCCAACATCGTGGGGCCTGAGCATTACGACGTGGCTCGGGGTGTGCAGAAAATCCTCCAGGTGAGGGGGCAGCCCCTTCCTCAGGTGGGGTGTTTGGGTGGGGGATCACCTCTGCCCGCTCACCCCCTGTGTGTCCCCCTGTCCCCAGGACTACAAGTCACTGCAGGACATCATCGCCATCCTGGGCATGGACGAGTTGTCCGAGGAGGACAAACTGACGGTGGCCCGAGCCCGCAAGATCCAGCGCTTCCTGTCCCAGCCCTTCCAGGTGGCCGAGGTCTTCACCGGCCACATGGGCAAGTTGGTGCCACTCAAAGAGACCATCAAGGGCTTCAAGCAGATCCTGGCAGGTGAGGTGGCTCTCAGAGGGGTCTGGGGGAGCCTGGCTGAGCCTCCCACACCCCTCCTGACACGTTTTATCCCCCCAGGTGAATATGACCACCTGCCTGAGCAGGCGTTCTACATGGTGGGGCCCATCGAGGAGGCGGTGGCCAAAGCAGAGAAGCTGGCAGAGGAACACGCCTGAGCCCCCCCTGAACACCCCCACAACATCCCCGGCTCCGCTGGGGCCGGACCCCCAGTATTTAACATTTCCAATAAAACATCGCTGAAAACGTTTGCAGGCCTTGTGTGCTGTGGCTCCTGCTCTTGGGGGGCTGCTGGGTGGGTCCCCCCAGCCCTGTGGGCCCCCCAGAATCTCTTCCATGAAAGGGGTTCTACTCTGCTGCAGAGACCCCCAGCCCTGGGGGCTCCTCTTTGTCCTGTGGGGTCTCCAAGAGGGGAGGAGCCCCCTCCTCTCTCCGCTGCAGGCACAGCCCGGGGTGGTGACAGATGCTGGTGCCCAGCCCTGTGTCCGTCTGTCCGTCCCAGTCCCGTCGTTCCCCCGCCCCCCCGCGCCGTTCCAGCTCCACCATTTCGCAGCACAAAGAGCCGCCCCGGCCCGGCCCTGCCCCGGCAGCTGCCACTTTGTCCCCGGGGTCCCGTGGGGCCACTCCGGTCCGACCTCGCCCGGTGCGGGGCTGGGGGACATCCCCCGAGGGTACCGGGACCACCCCCAACTCCCGACCTCCCCCCCTGCCCTGCTCCGCCGGTGCCCTCCCGGTGCCCCCCCGTACCGGCCTCTGCTCAACCCCCCGGAGGAGCAGCGGGGTCCCGGGGGTGTCTCCACGGGGGTGTCCCCCGGTGGTCCCGCGGCGCGGCCCCGGTTTGGGGGGTGTCCCTCGCCATCCCCCCCCACCCCACGGAGGGCGGCGGTCCCTTTAAATGGCGGCGCGGCCCCGGTGGCGGAGGGGGCGGCGGCGGTCGCTGACATCACGCGGGGCCGGGAGCACCTGCGCCCCGCCCGGCTCCGCCACCGGCACCGGCACCGCAGCGCACCGGGCCGGGCGGGCACCGGGGCTGCTGCGGGCCGCCCCCGCCGCCCCCCCAGGTACGCAGCGCGCAGGACGGGACCCGCGGACGGGGATACCGGGACCTACCGGGACCCCCTACGGGGCTGGGATGGCTGTAGGGAGACCCCCGCATCTGTACCGGGACCCCCTGAGACCGGCCCAGTTGTACCGGTACCCCCGGTTCTGTACTGGGACCTCCCCAAGCCCCCGGGAGCCTCGTCCAGGCGGGGAACCCCGCACCGGCTCCGCTGCCCCGCACCGGGAAGGAACACCACCCCCCCCCCCCCCCCCGCCTTCCATTGCGGCCGTACCGGGACAGCCCCCCCGCACCGGGACCCCGTTCTGCCCCCGCCGCCCCCGGAGCCGGTGTCGCTCCCGGGCCCTGCGCAGCGCGGCCCGGCCGGTGCCGCGTGACGTCACCGGGGATCCCGGGGGCCGGGGGGAGCTGGGGGGCGCCGGTGTACCCGCGGCCGAACGGGGCAGCACCGGTACCGTGCGGGGTCCCGGTCCCCGGTGCGCCGCCGTTCCTGGGGGTCGAGCTGGGGCTGCGGGGAGCGAGGGGGGAACGAACGGGAGAGCGCGCGGGGGGGGGAACGGAGGGGACGTTCCCGGGAGGTGCCGGTACGGGCTGGGGGAGCCCCGGGGGGAGCCGGGGGTCCCGGAACCAGGGGTAGGGGGGTGGGGGCGCGTCCCCGCGTGGGGATTCCCCCCGCCCTGACCCCGCCGGGGGCGGGGATCCCCCTCCCACGTGGGCGCGCGCCCGCCCCCGGTGACGCCACGGCGGCGCCGCTCCCGGTGACGCCACTGCGGCCGCCGTGACGTGCGGGGCGTGGGGGGAGGCGGAGGGGACGGGGAAGGGGGGGGTGGGGGGGGGGGAAGGAGGAGGACGGGACGGGACGGGGGCGGTCCCGGGACCGCCCGGCGGCGCGAGGCGCTTCCTGCCGCGGCCGCGGGTTCGGCTGTCCGCGGCCCGGCTCCCGGTTACCGGATCGGAGCGGAGGGGCCCGGCCCGGTGCGGCGGAGGGGCCGCGCCATGCCGAGCCGCCCCCCGCCCCGCGCCGCCTGAGCCGGGCCCGCGCCGCCGCCTGCCAGGTGCGGGGTCGCGGCGGAGGAAAAGGGGGGAGGCCCAGGCGGTAACGGGCCGTTAACGGCCCCGGGAGAAGGCAGCGAGGGGCTGGGAGGGTCGGTTGAGGCGGTTTGGGCCCGGCGGCGGCGGGGACACCCCGCTCCCCTTTGCTGACCTCGGTGAGACGCCGTGCTCTCCCCCCGCGCATCCCGGTTCCATGGCCTGACCCCCCCCCCCCCCCCCCTCCTCCTCCGTTACCGGCTCCCGGTGACTCCCCCGCTCCCCTCCCGGTGCAGCGGCCAAGGGCCCAGACCCGCGGGGAGCTCCAGCCCCGTTCCCAGTGCCCGGGGCGGTTCTCCCGCAGCCCCGTCCCGGAGCTCCCTCCCGTACTTCCCGGCCGTATCCCCCCCGCCCCACCGGGACCGGGACCCCCGTGCAGCGGACACCGAGCCCCCCATCCCCGGAGAACCGGCGAGGGGTATGGAGGTGTCCTTGCCGCAGGGACCGGTCCCGTGTCCCCCCGGTGTGTCCGTGCCCGCAGGAAGTGGCCGGGAAATGGCAGCCGGTTGTTGCGTCTCGTTGTTTTTGAAACGTCCTTTTTAATCAGGTCGCGTCACGCTCCCGGGGCCTCCCGGTGCTACCGAACCGGGGAGGCACCGGGGAACGGCACCGGCTCCACGGCACCGGCGGTTCCCCCTCAGCCTGGAGCTCTGTCCCCCCCTCCTCAGCTCAGCTCCCGGGGACAGCCCCGGCCCCGGTGTCCCTGTGGGGATCCCAGGGCCCGGTGGTGCGGCTGCCACCGGGTGTCCCCAGCGCTGCCACGTCGGCCGTGCCCGGTGTGGCGGGGTCAGCTCGGTGCCCACCTTGTCACCCACGGTGCTGCCATCCGAGGCTCTCCTGCCCCTCGCCCTCCTCACCTTGCCCGGCTCCGGTTTCTCACCGTGGCCCAGTTTCAGCTTCACGCTCAGGGCGGGGGGGAGCGGGGCCACGGGAGCCCCGGTGAGGGTGAGAGGTGACAAATGGCCTTGGGTGGCTGTGGATGACCATGGATGACCAATGTCCTGGCACTGGCCGAGCTCCCAGCCATGCCAAGGCTGGCCCTGCCCTCTGCCAGGCCTGGCACCCTGGAGCAAGGCTGACATTCCCACTTTGCTTTCATTTTCCCTCAGTCCCTTCCTCATGTTCCGAAACCATCCCAGTCCACCTCCGTGTGCCACCTGCAGCCTCCACCTGCCCGGTGGCCCTGGCACATCCCTCGGTGGCCCTGGCACATTCCTCGGTGGCCCTGGCACAACCCTCGGTGGCCCTGGCACTGCCCTGACCTCCAGAGCCGGCAGCGCCTCCCTGGCCGGCACTTCACACACGGGGTGGGACCGGAAAGGCTTTTCCTTATCCAGCCCCAAAAGGCTTTTCCTTCTCCAGCCCCGGTGTCCCCACGGTGTCCCCACAGTGTCCCCACGCCCAGGGGTTCCAGCTGGCTTAGGCCAGAGGCCGGTTCAGGGCTCGGGGGAGGCGGCTCCGGGTCCGTCCCGGTTTGTCCGGGACTGTGGCGGCGGCGGCGGCAGCGGCACCGCCCATACGGGTTCCTCCGGTGCATGAATCACCCCGTGGCCCTGGCCAGGCTTTGGTGGCCCCTGCGGCCCTGCCAGGGCACCAGCTGAGGGTGTGATGAAATCGGGGTTTCGACACGGGCTGTGCCACCATTGCTGCTCAAGCGCCGAGCGCGGCGGCCTTGGCCCTTCCGGGGAGGTCGGCACCGCCTTGGCCGGTGGCAAATGTGGCACAAATGGTGGTGGCAGCTCCCTGGGGTGTCCCTGTGGGTCCCCACCAGCACTGGGGCTCCCTGCTCATCTGCTGGGCTTGCAGGGCTGAGTTCCCTCAGTTCCTTGTGTCCCATCCCGATGTGGAGCCACCAGGATCCCTCCTTGTGGCCTCGGGTTTGAGGGAATGTTTGGAGTTTCTGGGGGATGAATTCACCCAGATCCCTCCTTGTGGCCTCAGATTTGAGGGAGGGTTTGGGGTTCCTGGGGGATGAAGGTCACCAGGATCCCTCTTTGTGGCCTGGGGTTTGAGGGAGTGTTTTGGGGGTTCCTGGGGGATGAAGGTCACCAGGATCCCTCCTGGGCCACAGGCCTAGGGTTTTAGGGAACATTTGGGGTTCCTGGGGGATGAAGGTCACCAGAATCCCTCCTTGGGGCCTGGGGTTTGAGGGAGCATTTGAGGGGTTCCTGTGGGGTGAAGATCACCAGGATCCTTCCTGTGGCCTCTTGTTTGGGGTTCCTGGGGGATTCAAGTCACCAGGATCCCTCCTGGGCCTCAGCTTTGGGGGAGCCTTTGGGGTTCCTGGGGGATGGACCCACCAGGATCCCTCCTTGTGGCCTCAAGTTTGGGGTTTCCTGGGGGGTGAAGGTCAACAGGATCCCTCCTGAACCCCAGGCCTCGGGTTTGAGGGAGTGTTTGGGGTTCCTGGGGGATGAAGGTCACCAGGATCCCTCCTCGTGGCCTCAGGGTTTGAGGGGGTGTTTGGAGGGTTCCTGTGGGATGAATTTCAGGAGGATCCCGGAGCAGCCACAGGATGGTGGCACACAGTGGTCACACCTTGGTGGTGATGGCTGTCCCTGGGGTGACAGGCTGTGCTCAAGCAGGTGGCAGCTCGTCCAGGTGGGGTGGCTGGGCCTGGGCCAGGTGGCATCTCAGTCCTGGGGGGCTTCAGTGTCACTTGTCACCCTCCCCAGGCTGGGGACCACAAAGAGTCAGTGGTGGGTGGGTCACCACAGTGGCCACCCCAGCCCTCACCAGTGACTGACCCCGTCTTGTCCCCCTGTGCAGAAATGGAAACAAACAACCGCCTGAACTTCACTGGCCTTTCCTCTGCACCCGCTGCCTCAGGACCGAAACCCACGCCTGCCTCAGGGGACTCCCCCTTCGCCCACAGCTCCACGCTCGGCTTCCCCCAGCAAGGGAAAAGTGAGTGAGGACACGGGGACAGGGCTGGGGTGGCTGTGGGGGCAGAGGGGACACGGGGATGGAGGGGCTGCAGGGACAGAGGGGACACAGAGGGGCTGCAGGGACAGAGGGATGGAAGGCACAGAGGGATGGGAGGGCTGCAGGGACAGGGGACACAAGGGTGAAGGGGCTGTAGGGACAGAGAGGACACAGGAATAGAGGGGCAGCAGGGATGGAGTGGCCATGGGGCTGGAGGTGACACAGGGATGGAGGGGCTGCAGGGACAGAGGGGTCACAGCGATGAGAGGGCTGCAGGGACAGAGGGGACACAGGGATGGGATGGCTGCAGGGACAGAGAGATGGGGTGGCTGTGGGGGCAGAGGGGATGCAGGGACTGCAGTAATAGAGGGATTGCCGGGATGGAAGGGCTGTGGGGCCAGAGGAGATGCAGGGATAGAGGGGCTGCAGGGATGGGGTGGCTGTGGGGCCACAGGGATGGGAGGGCTGGAGGGACAGAGGGGACAGAGGGATGGGATGGCTGCAGGGACAGAGGGCCGGAGGGGCCATGGCCAGCAGCAGCTCCAGCACGGGGGGCCAGGGCCGGGGTCTGTGCGTCCCTGCCGCCGCCTTGGCCTAGAAAAGCGGCCGTGCCAGCCCCGGGGCCGTGCGTGGATTTGGCCGCTCAGCTGATCCCGCACAGCCCTGCCAAGCTCGGCTAATCCCCGGCGTCCTGCGGCGCTCGGTTTGGCAAACGGGGACTGTGAACCCCCCCCTTCCGTCCCTGCTTCTCTCCAGCCATGGGGAGGGGGGGCACACCAGCAGGGCTTTGGCAGCTGCCCTGCCTGGCCATTGATCCATCCTCAAACCCACTGGAGACACCCCACAGTGCTCAGCCTGGTGCTGGCACAGCCAGTTTGGCAAATGGGGATCGTGCATCTCCCCCCTCTTCCCTCCCTCCCTGCTTCTCTCCAGGGAGGATGAGGGGATGGACACCAGCAGGGCTTTGGCAGCTGCCCCCCCTGGCCATTGATCCATCCTCCACCCACTGGAGAGACCCCGCAGGGCTCAGCCCGGTGCTGGCACAGCCGATTTGGCAAATGGGGACCATGCAGCTCCCTCCCTTCCTCCCTGCTTCTCTCCATGCACAGGGAGGGTTAGGGGACACCAGCAGGGCTTTGGCAGCTGCCCCACCTGGCCATTGATCCATCCTCAACCCCCCTGGAGAGACCCCACAGCGCTTGGCTCGGTGCTGGCACAGCCGATTTGGCAAATGGGGATTGTGCATCTCCCCCCCATCCCTCCCTCCCTGCTTCTCTCCATGCATAGGGAGGGTTAGGGGACACCAGCAAGGTTTTGGCAGCTGCCCTGCCTAGCCATTGATCCATCCTCACACTGGAGAGACCCCACGGTGCTCAGCCTGGTGCTGGCACAGCCAATTTGGCAAACAGGGATTGTGCAGCTCCCCCCCTTTTCTCCAGGCATGGGGAGGGGGGACACCAGCAGGGCTTTGGCAGCTGCCCTGCCTGGCCATTGATCCATCCTGAAACCCATTGGAGACACCCCACGGTGCTCGGCCCGGTGCCATGGCAGAACCGGTTTGGCAAATGGGGACCATGCAGCTCCCCCCTGCTCTCCAGCCATGGAGAAGGGGGACTCCAGCAGGGTTTTGGCAGCTGCCCTGCCTGGCCATTGATCCATCCTCAGCCCCGCTGGAGAGACCCCTGAGCTCCCTGTGCTTCCTCCCTCAGGTCTGAACGGGGGCATGAATGTCAATGGCTTCTCTACTGTATCCCACCCCGGTACTTCAGGGACCTTCTCACCCGGCTCCGCTGCCGCCGGGGCGCAGCCCCTCCGCCCCTACGACTGCCTGTGGGACTACTCCCCCTACACACCCGCCGCCGGTGCTGCTGCTGGTGGCCTCAAGGACGGGGCAGGCCCTCCCAACCTCGGACAGTTCCCCCTCAACGGCGTGGCCGGGGGGTCCCGGCCGGCCTCGCCCCCGGGGCACGGCACCAACCTGCGGGCAAGCGGGCAGGAGCTGTGGGGCAACGGCACCGCAACGGGGCCCATGGGGCTGAGCTTTGACTCGCACGAGCTCTACGAGTCCTTCCACGAGCAGAGCTTTGAGTTGATGCAGAATGGGCCTGAGGGGTTCTACGCCACCGGTCAGTCCTCGTCCGTGCTGAACTCGGACACGCAGCCCTTCCCAAACGAGCCAGAGCCCAGCCAGGGAGACGCTGAGGGTGCAGCCAAAGAGATGCCCAGCGCCACAAACAGCACCAGCACCATCACGGAGAACGGGGGTGGGCTGGTGGGCAGCCAGGAGCTGGAGGAGGCGCAGCCAGGTAGGAGCCCTGAGGGCTGGCAGAGCTCTGGGATGCAGTGCTGGGTGGGTGGTGAATCCTGGTGGAGTTGGGCATTGTTCCTCGGGGAATCCCGGCTGCTCTGACCCCCCTGCCCAGTGTCCTGGATGGGGTTTGGCCGGTCACAGCTTGGAGGAGGTGTTGGGATCTCATAAAACCAGGCTGAGTGTCAGCACCCCATGCCAGGTAGGAGCCCTGAGGGCTGGCAGAGCTCTGGGATGCAGCACTGGGGCCCTGGAAGGTGGGTGGTGGATCCTGGTGGAGTTGAGCATGGCATTCCTTGGGGAATCCCAGGTGCTCTGACCCCCCTGCCCAGTGTCCTGGATGGGGTTTGGCTGGTCACAGCTTGGAGGAGGTGTTGGGATCTCATAAAACCAGGCTGGGTGTCAGCACCCTATGCCAGGTAGGAGCCTTGAAGGGCTGGCAGAGCTCTGGGATGCAATCCTGGGTGGGTGGTGAATCCTGGTGGAGTTGGGCATTGTTCCTCGGGGAATCCCAGGTGCTCTGACCCCCCTGCCCAGTGTCCTGGATGGGGTTTGGCCGGTCACAGCTTGGAGGAGGTGTTGGGATCTCATAAAACCAGGCTGGGTGTCACCACCCCACGCCGTGGAGGGCTGGCTGTCCCAGCACAGGGATCCCCCCAGCTCTGTCCCCATCACATCTCAGGGTCTGTTTTTGGTCTATTGCTCCCTTCAGACCTGAAGATCTGCAGCTACAATGGGGCCACAGCCGCTGGCACGGGGTCACTGGGGCCGGAGGGGGCCAGCGGGTGCCTGGGGGAGGCATCACCCATCGCCCCACGGCTGGAGGACACCCACATCCTCAGCGAGGACTCTCTGGAGCCCTTCGAGTCCCTGGCCAGAGGTAGGGGGATGTCGAGGGGGGCACAAAAATTCCCTGGGAGGGAAGCAGTGCCAGCTCTTGTCGGTCCCCACTTGGGGATGCGGTGGTGGGGATGCTGCAGTGGCCGTGGGGATGTGGTGGCCGTGGGGATGGGGTGGAGACTGTGAAGATGCTGTGGTGGCCATGGGGATGGGGTGGTGGAGATGCTGTGGTGGTGGGGATGTGTTGGTGGCCCTGGCGATGCAGTGGTGGCCGTGAGGATGCTGTAGCCATGGGGATGCTGCGGTGGCTGTGGGGATGCGATGGTGGCCATGAAGATGGGGTGGTGGCCGTGGAGATGTGTTGGTGGCTGTGGGGATGCAGTGGTAGAGATGTGGTGGCCGTGGGGAAGCTGCAGTGGCTGTGGGGATGGGGTGGTGGAGATGTGGTGGCCGTGGGGATGCAGCGGTGGCCATGGGGATGTGTTGGTAGCCGTGGGGATGTGGCGATGCCGTGGCTGTGGGGATGGGTTGGTGGCCGTGGGGATGTGTTGGTGACCGTGGGGATGCTGTGGCCGTGGGGATGTGTTGGTGGCCGTGGGGATGCTGTGGCCATGGGGATGCTGCGCTGGCCCCGGCGCTCTCCCGAGGCAGGGGCGGGCCCGCGTCCCCGGCTCGCTGCCGGCTTTTCCTTCCCGTCCTTCCCGTCCTTCCCAGCTCCGTGACGAGGCGGTTACTCAGCGCCTGAACTTCCGCGCTGCTGAGCATCGCCACGGCCATTTTGGGCTCCTCCGCTTCCCAGAGGAGGAGGAGGAGGAGGCGGAGCTGGGGGGGGAGGGAGGAGGAGGGGGGGGTACCCAAACCCCTTTTAACCCCTCTGCTGCCGGAGTCTTTCCATCCACTCCACACACACCCCATTCCCCCCTGAGCGGAGATGTTGCTCCGTGCGCCCCCAACCCTGGTGCTCGCCCTCCTCCCCAGACCCCGGCACCGGCGATTTGTACGCGATGGACGACTCGCAGCTGGTGAGCGACAAATCCCCCTTGGAGGAGCCCCCCGACCTGGCTGTCAGCCCCCCACTCCACGCCGGCCCCTTCAGCCTGCTGCCCGCCAGCCCCTCGCCCGCCCCGCTGCTCCAGGCACCCGGCTCGCCGCCAGCCCTGCCCGGTACGTGCTGCCCCCCACACCGGGAGGGGATCGGGGTCTCGTTCCCCACGAGGGATCACCAGGGGTCACCCCACCGGCCCGGTTCCCCACGAGGGATGCCTCGTGAGCCCCACGGGGATGGGGGTCTCGTTCCCTACCAGGGATGCACAGTGAGCCCCACGGGGGTCACCCCACCGATCTCGACACCCATGAGGGATGCACCGTGAGCCCCACGGGGATCAGCCCTGGTTCCCCACGAGGGATGCACCGTGACCCCCACGGGGATGGGGGTCTCGTCCCCCACGAGGGATGTCCCGTTAGCCCCACGGGGGTCAACCCACCGGCCCGGTTCCCCACGGGGGTCACCCCACCGGCCCGGTTCCCCACCAGGGATGCACCGTGAGCCCCACGGAGATGGGGTTTCGTTCCCCACCGTGAGCCCCACGGAGATGGGGGTCTCGTTCCCCACCAAGGATGCCCCGTGAGGGTCTCGGTGGCACCGGCGAGGCCCCCGGGCAGCGCAGGGAGGGAGGGGACGCGCGGCCCCGGTGACGTGTCCGGTGACGTTCCTGACCTTGGCTCCTCAGGCGACAACGGCGAGCTGAAGAGCGGCGACCACGCGGGGCTGCGGGACTCGGGGTCCCTGGAGCTCGACCCTCCGCTGGAGCCGGACTCGCCGGCCCCGTCTGCTGAGGAGGAGGAGGAGGAGGAGGAAGAAGAGGAGGAGGAGGAGGAGGAGGCTGCCGACAGCTGCCCGGAGACTTCGGCCGCGCCGGGAGAGGGGGAGAGCGAGGAGCCGGCCCTGCTGAGCGCCTCGGGGGCAGGTGTGGGCGCCCCCCAGCCCCGGGCCGACCCTCCCGGTGCCCCCCGGCCGCCGGCCCATCCTCCCCTCTGTCCCCTCCCCGCAGGTGATGTCCCTCGGCGGCGCATCGCCACTCAGGAGGAGGTGCGCTTCCCGCTGCAGCACGGGTACGTGGGGTGGCCCCCGAGCCTGTTCCCTTTCCCCCTGTCCTGTTCCTGTCCCCCTCTGGCCGTGCTGCCCCCGACCCTTTTCCCTTTCCATCCTCTTCTTCCTGTCCCCCTCCCGCCGTCCTGCCCCACAGCTCTGTCCCCGACACTGTCCTCTCCTCATCCTGCCTCAAAAAACTACCAAAACTACCGTCCCCTTCCCACCATCCTGCTCCTGAAATTATCCCCATCGTGTCCCCATCCTGTCCCCGTCCTGTCCCCCTCGTGTCCCCATCCCCTCCCCATCCTGTCCCTGTCCCCACCCCTTTCCCATCCTCCCCCTCTCTCCATCCCTTTCCCATCCTGTCCCCATCCCCAACCCCTCCCACTGCTCTGTCCCCGGCACTGTCCCCTCCCCATCCTGCCTCAAAAACTACCAAAACTACCGTCCCCTTCTCACCATCCTGCTCCTGAAATTTTCCCCATCCTGTCCCCATTCTGCCCCTAAAACTACTGTCCCCTGCTCCTGAAACTATCCCTGTCCTGTCCCCATCGTGTCCCCATCCTGTCCCTAAAACTACCGTCCCTTTCCCACCATCCTGCTCCTGAAATTTTCCCCATCCTGTCCCCACCCCTTTCCCATCCTCCCCCTCTCTCCATCCCTTTCCCATCCTGTCCCCATCCCCGACCCCTCCCACTGCTCTGTCCCCTCGGTCCTGTCCCCTCCCCATCCTGTCCCTGCTGCTGTCCCCTCGGTCCTGTCCCCTCCCCATCCTGTCCCTGGCCCTGTCCCCTCCCCATGGTGCCCCACGGCCCCGGGTGACGCTGCCGTGCCCAGGTGGAGGCGGGAGGTGCGGATCAAGAAGGGGAACCATCGCTGGCAGGGTGAGACCTGGTACTACGGCCCCTGCGGGAAGAGGATGAAGCAATTCCCGGAGGTCATCAAGGTACCGCCCCTGGGGACACCAAATGTTTGAGAATGTTTGGGGTATTTGGGATATTTTGGGGTATTTGGGACATTTAGCATGTTTGGGGTATTTGGGATATTTAGAATATTTGGGGTATTTTGGACATTTGGGGTATTTGGGCTATTTTGGGACTTTTAGGGGATTTGGGACATTTAAAATATTTGGGGTATGTGGGATATTTTGGGTGTTTGGACTATTTTGGGGAATATGGGACATTTAGAATGTTTGGGGTATTTGGGATATTTTGGGGCATTTGGGGGATTTGGGGTATTTAGAATATTTGGGGTATTTTGGACATTTGGGGTATTTGGAGACATTTGGGGTATTTTGAATATTTTGGGACTTTTGGGGGATTTGGGACATTTAAAATGTTTGGGGTATTTAGGCTATTTTGGGATATCTGGGATATTTAGAATATTTGGGGTATTTGGGCTATTTTGGGGCATTTGGGGATTTGGGCTATTTAGGGACTTTTGGAGGATTTGGGACATTTAAAATATTTGGGGTGTTTGGGATATTTTGGGACTTTTGGGACATTTAAAATATTTGGGATATTTGAGGTATTTAGGAGATTTTGGGATATCTGGGATATTTGGAGTACTTGGGGCGTTTGGGATATTTTGGGGCATTTGGGGTATTTGAGAAATTTAGAATATTTGAGAATATTTGGGGACATTTGGGAATATTTGAGGTATTTTGAATATTTCGGGCTATTTGGGATATTTGGGGTCATTGAGGTGCTTGGGACATTCAGAATATTTGGGGTATTTGGGCTATTTTGGGACTTTTGGGGTATTTTGAATATTTGGGACATTTTGGGGGAGTTATGGGGAGGGGGCCAGTTCTGACCCACCAGAACCCCCCCAAAGCTCAGAACTGCAGCTGATGGAGGCTGTGGTGAACTCAGAACCACTGACCTTCCTCCCAACCTTCCTCCTCCTCCTCGCTGTCCCCAGTACCTGAGCAGGAACATGGTGCAGGACGTGCGGCGCGAGCACTTCAGCTTCAGCCCCCGCATGCCCGTGGGAGACTTCTACGAGGAGAGGGACACTGCAGAGGTGGGTCTGGGGGCTGCTGTGCCCCCCAGCTCCTCTCTGTGCCCACGGGTGACCCCAGCGTGTGCCCCACAGGGCGTGCAGTGGGTGAAGCTGAGCCCCGAGGAGATCCCCGGGCGCATCCAGGCCATCACGGGCAAGCGCGGCCGGCCCCGCAACGCCGAGAAGGTCAAAGGCAAGGAGCCCCCGGCCACCAAACGGGGCAGGGGCCGCCCACCCAAGGTCAGGATGGTGGATTTGCTCAGCAAGACGGATGCACGGCTGCTGAAGAGGCTGGAAGCACAAGGTACCCCCCTTTCCATCCCCTGTGGGAAGCTCCTCGCAGCTTGGTGGGATCGTGGTTCACATCCATTTTGTGTTCCCTTCCAGAGGTGCTCAGCGAGGAGGACAAGCTGAAAATGAGCAAGATCAAGAAGAAAATGAGGCGGAAGGTGCGGGTATGGGGATTTGGGGGGGATTTTCCCTGGTGCAGGGGGTTCCTGAGCGGGTCTTGTCCCCCCCTCAGGCCAAGAACAAGCAGAAGCAGGAGGCCAAAGCCCCCAGGACCAAGGAGGCCAAGAAGAAATCCAAGGTGAGTCCGTGGGCAGAGGGAGGACATGAAAAATGAAAAATGGATTTTCCCCCTTACCTTTTCCTATCCGGGCTCTGACTCAGGTCAAGGAGAAGAAGGGGAAGGCAGAGAAGGGCAAGGACAAGGCCAGGCCCAAGGAGAAGAAGGCCAAGGGGGCTCGCAAGGCAGACAAGGGGCTGCTGGCCCAGCGGCGCCTGGAGGAGCGGCGGCGGCAGCAGCTCATCCTGGAGGAGATGAAGAAACCCACAGAGGACATGTGCCTGGGGGACCACCAGGTGGGCTGTGCTAGGGGGCTCAGAAATGTCACCCCGAGGAGCCACCAGCTGGTTCTGACCCCTCCTTTCTTCTCCCTGATCCGCAGCCCCTGCCAGCCTTCTCCCGCATCCCGGGGCTGGTCCTGCCCAGCCGTGCCTTCTCCGACTGCCTGACGGTGGTGGAGTTCCTGCAGAGCTACGGGAAGGTGCTGGGGCTGGAGCCAGCCCGGGACGTGCCCACGCTGGGGGCGCTGCAGGAGGGGCTGCTGGGGATGGCCCCTGGCGTGGGGCAGCTGCAGGACCTGCTGGTGAGGCTGCTGCAGGCGGCGCTGTGCGACCCCGGGCTGCCACCCTACTGCCAGGTGAGACCCCCTTCCCTTCCCTTCCCTTCCCTTCCCTTCCCTTCCCTTCCCTTCCCTTCCCTTCCCTTCCCTTCCCTTCCCCTTCCCTTCCCTTCCCTTCCCTTCCCTTCCCTTCCCCTTCCCCTTCCCCTTCCCCTTCCCCTTCCCCTTCCCCTTCCCCTTCCCCTTCCCTTCCCTAACCTTCCCTTCCCTAACCTTCCCTTCCCTCTTTTTCCCCTTTTTCTTATTTTCCCCCCTTCCCTTATTTTTCCCTTTCCTTTCTCCCTCTTCTTTTCCCTTTTCTTTTTCCCCTTTTCATTTTCCCCATCCCTTTTCTTCCCTCCTCTTTCTTCCCCCCGCTTTCCTCTTCTTCCCCCTTCTTTCTTTTCCCTTCCCCTTCCTTTTTTCAATCTTTTTGCCACCTTCACCTTTCTTTTCCCCTTCTCTTTTCCCCCCCATTTTCCCTTTCCTTTCACCCCTTTGTCCTTTCTTTTCCTTCCCTTTTTTCCCCACCACTTTTTATTTTTACTTCTGCTTTCACTTTCCTTTCCTTTTCTCTCTCTTTCTCCCTTTTCTCCTCCTTCCCCTGACTGGGGCTACAAAACTCAGGACAAAGAATCCTAAATTTGGGATTAAAATTTAGGATTTTTTGTCCTGAATAAGAAAAGGGCTCTCCCTTTTCTTACCTGTGGCCATCCTCTTACCTTTTACCTTACCTCTTACCTTTTCTTACCTGTGGCCCTCATCCTCCTCACCCCCAGCATCTTTTGGGATGGTGTTCCCCCATCCATCCCTGTGCCAGGAGCACCTCTGGGCAGGAACCCCCTCCCGATAAACCCTTGTGGGGGTAAGGAGGAGACTCCCCAAACCTTTCTTTTCCCTTTTTCTTTTTTCCCCCATTTTCCCTTTGTTCTTTCTTTTTCTTCCATTTTCCCCCACCACTTTTTATTTTTACTTCTGCTTTCACTTTCCTTTCCTTTTCTCTCTCTTTCTTCCTTTTCCCCCTCCCCTCTCTGGGGCTGTCAGTGCCTGAAAAACTCAGAACAGAGAATCCTGAATTTGGGATTTGCTGCTCTCCCTCTTCTTACCATCCCCCTCCTCAGCCCCAGCATCTTTTGGGGTGTCCCCCCATCCATCCTTGTGATGGGAGCACCCAAAACCCCCTCTGGGCAGGAACCCCCTCCTGATAAACCCCCTTGGTGGCAATGAGGGCACTCCCCAAACCTCTCCCTTTGCTCTGGGCAGTCCCTGAAGATCCTGGGGGAGAAGGTGTCGGAGATCAGCCTGAACAGGGACACGGTGTCGGAGGTGCTGCGCTGCTTCCTGACGGCGCACGGCGCGGGCGCGGCTCTGTGCGAGGGGCTGCGCACCAAACCCTTCCAGGCGCTGCCCCCCGAGCTCAAGGCCTCCATCCTGGTCTTCCTCATCAACGAGCTCAACAGCAGCGCCCTCATCATCAGGTGGGGCTGGTTTGGGGGGCAGGAAAACCCTTTAATTTGAAGTGTTGGTGTGGATCCTGCTTGCTGGAGCCATCTCCGTCTCTCATTGTGCAGTGAGATCGACAAGACCTTGGAGAGCATGGCCAACTACAGGAAGAACAAGTGGATCATTGAGGGAAGACTGCGCAGGTTGGTGGGGAGGGGGCTTTGCTTTCAGCCTCATCATCATCCCCTCTGAGGGACCAGGTGCCTCAGGGTGGGCAGGGGGATGTCACTGTGTCACTAGGGCACAAAACAACACAAACGCACACACCGCTGCTCTCAAGGTGAAGAAAAAGGGAAGTTTATTTTCTGACTCCCAACATTTATAGATTTCCAAAAGTGACAGTGGATTGGAGGGTGAAAGGGCCACCTCTCCAATGACACTGGACAAACCAACAGTCCATCAAATTTCTCCTCTTCTATAAAAATGCAAAACAATGAGTTATTTACAGAAAGCGTGTGAGAATCCGGCTGTGGGATTGAGGGGCTGCAGGGTTGAGGGGGTTGAAGAATTGGGGTTTGTAGGATTGGGGGGCTGTGGGATTGAATGGCTGAAAAATTGGAGTTTGTAGGATTGGGGGGCTGTGGGATTGAGGAGCTGAAAAATTGGAGTTTGTAGGATTGGGGGGCTGTGGGATTGAGGGGCTGCTGGGTTGGAGGTCTGAAAAATTGGGGTTTGTAGGATTAGGGGGCTGTGGGATTGAGGGGCTGCAGGGTTGGGGGGCTGAAAAATTGGGGTTTGTAGGATTAGGGGGCTGAGAACCAGGTATGATAATCTTTGTGAGTCCCTTCCAAAGCAGAATATTTTACAATTTTCTATGTAAGAAAGTTTGCAACAAGAACATAAACATCAGAAGACTTAGAAAACCTTAAAAAATCAGGGAGGACAGGTAGCCAACACCTCCACCTGTGTCCTGGCAGGCTGAAGGTCGCCCTGGCCAAGAAGACGGGACGTCCTGAGTCGGAGATCACGGGGCTGGAGGACGGACGGCGCCGGCGCAGCTCCCGCCTGACCGAGGACGTGGGGCTGGAGATGGAGGAGGAGGAGGAGACCCGAGGGAGGAGATCTCGCAGGGAGGAGGAGGTGGGGTGCTCCAGGCTCTGTTGTGGGGGGCAAAAGTGAGGGTGCCACCTCAGGGGTGTCTTCCCTGTGACTGATCCATCCCCAGGATGGAGCTGCCGCACGTTGAGCACCAGTATATTGGAATTAAATACCAATATATTGAAATTAAATACCAGTATATTGAAATTAAATACCAATATAGCTGGATGGAACGTGCCTGGGCTTGTCTGGCCCTTGCTGCTTGACCAAAGGTGACAGCTGTGGTGGTTTCACCTCAGAAACACCTTTTGGCTGGCTGGATATTGCAGGAAAAGTGAGGGTGCCACCTCAGGGGTGTCTTCCCTGACTGATCCATCCTCAGGATTGAGCTGCTGCACGTTGGGCACCAAAATATTGGAATTAAATACCAATATAGCCAGATGGAACGGGCCTGGGTTCGTCTGGCCCTTGCTGCTTGACCAAGGGTGGCAGCTGTGGTGGTTTCACCCCAGAGACACCTTTGGCTGGCTGGATATTGCAGCTGGGTGCTTGGGACAAGTCCAGGCTTGCAGGAGCTCAGGTTTACCTCTGGTGGAGAAGCTTTAAGGCCATGGTGAAGGAAAGGAGTTGAGTTCTGCTGGAGGGTTTGGATCCAGAGCTTTATTCTGGCCCACAGGCCTCTGAATGCAGCAACTGCTCCAACAGAACTTCCTGACCCCGTGGTTGCTGTGCCTTTTAACCCCAGGGAGAGGGGCAGGGAAGGGGTAGGGAGCCACCAACCAGGTAAGGGGGGGAAATCTCAGGGGACAAACGACACCTGGATGGCCCAATGCCCCCCCACCAGGGCTGAGAGGCCTCTTTTGAACTTTGCTCTTCTGGAATGCCAAGATTGACAGACAGCACTCAGCAGGGGCAAGGGAGCGGGAAAGGAGAGGTGATTGTCACACTGGGATAACTGAGGCACTTTCCCAGGTTGACACGTCTACATCCAGCGTGCCGGAGCTGGAGCGGCAGATCGAGAAGCTGGCCAAGGTGAGCAGGTGCTGGAGGGTCGGGGTTCAGCCCTGCTGGGGGGCTGCAGCCCCCTCACCACCCCCTTGTCTCCTCAGAGGCAGATGTTCTTCCGCAAGAAGCTGCTCCATTCCTCCCAGACCCTGCGTGCAGCCTCCCTTGGCCAGGACCGGTTCCGGAGGCGCTACTGGGTCCTGCCCCACCTGGGCGGCATCTTCGTGGAGGGCGCCGAGGGTGAGTGGGGACGGAGCTTTTCGGGGGGATGAAAAACAACTGTAACAGCTGGGAGAGGAGCCCACAGCTCACCTGCTCGTCCTCCTGCTGTCACAGCAGCTGAGGTGGTGCCTCAGGAGCCTCCTGAGGAGAAGATGTCCCCGCTGGTGTCCCCGGTGAAGGAGGAGCCGGCCGCCGTGCCCGTCGCCAGCCGCACCAGCTGCCCCACCTCGGCCTCCCGTGCCCGTGGGAGGCCCCGGAAAAGCAAAGAGGAGCTGGCCCAGCACTGCCAGCCCTGCCAGCCCTGCCAGCCCTGCCCAGTGCCCATCAACGGCATCCTGGAGGAGCCAGAGCCGCTGGGGCAGAGCCAGCACGACCTGAGCCAGTCGGCGTTCCTGTCCTGGCTGAGCCAGACCCAGTCGTCCCTGCTCAAGGACTCGGTTCTCACCCCGGCCAGCAGCCCTGGCAAAGGGGACACGGGGCTCCCCGAGGCCCCCTCGGACCCCATGGAGGAGGAAGAGGAGGAGGAGGAGGAGGAGGAGAGAGCCCCGGAGGCCGTGGCAAAGAGAGGGCCCTGGTTTAACCTGCTGCCCCGCACGCCTTGCGACGACCGTGCCCCCCTCGCTACCTCCTCGGCCGAGCCCTCGCCACGAGCCCCCGCAGCCCCCCGCAGCCAGAGCAGGGGGGAGCCCCCCAAGGGCTCAGCACGGCAGGTACAGGGCTGGGGGGACTGCAGCCAGCACCTGCACCCCGACCCGAGGGGCTGGATGGGCAGGGGGATTCACCCTGGGTGGCTGCAGGGGTTGGATGGGGAGGGGGATTCACCCGGGGGGGCTGCAAGGACAGGGATGGGACCCTCTGTGTGACCTGGTGGGACAGGGTGGGGTCAGTCCTGCTGCTCTGGATGGGCTGGGGAGAAGGGACACTGCTCCTGGGGTGGGGAGGGTGCAGGGCTTGGGGGAGCTGTGGGGTTGCGGGGCTGAAAAATTGGGGTTTGTAGGATTAGGGGGCTGTGGGATTGGAGGGGCTGCAGTGTTGGGGGGCTGAAGAATTGGAGTTTGTAGGATTAGGGGGCTGTGGGATTGAGGGGCTGCAGGACTGGAGAGGCTGTGGGATTCGTGTTTGTACGATTAGGAGGCTGTGGGATTGAGGGGCTGCAGGATTAGAGGAGGTGCAGAATTCAGGTGCTGAGTATCCAGATGTGATAATCCTTGTGTGTCCCCCTCCAAAGCTGAGTATTTTACAATTTCCTGTCTGTTTTCTCTGACATCCCCTCATCTCTCCAGCTGAACGGCCTCCCCTCAGACGACCCCACAGCCCCCCTGCTCGCCTCCACGCCGGTGCACGCCGGCCCCAGGGCCCACGGCGCCTGCCCCCGCAGCCAGGGCAGCCTGGAGAAGCTCCAGGACGTGCCAGGACAGCCCAAACGCCGAGGGAGACCCCCCACCAAATTCTTCAAGCAGATGGAGCAGAAATACCTGACGCAGCTGACGGAGCAGCCGGTGCCCAGCGGTGAGAGCTGGGACCCCCGGGACCCCCCCGGTGCCCCTGGCACGGTGCTGAGTGTGGCACTGCCCTTGCAGAGATGCAGAGTGGCTGGTGGTGGCTGAGGGACCCCGAGGAGCTGGAGGCCGTGGCACGGGCGCTGCACCCGCGTGGCATCAGGGAGAAAGCCCTGCACAAGCACCTGACCAAGCACAAGGAGTTCCTGCGTGAGGTTTGCCTCAGGAGCACCACTGGTGAGTGCCCCAGAGCCCACCCCTGCCCCCAGACCCCCAGATGGGTGGGGGGCTCTTGTCTGTCCCATTTGAGCCCACCTGTGAGCCCCCAGATTTCATTTTCTGCCCAAATCCCTAAGGCAGGGCAGGGGGCTGCTCCCTGAGCCCACCCTTTATCCCTCCAGACCCCATCATGTCCAGGGATGTGTCTCTCCTCCCTGACCCATTTTCTCCTCTCCAGAACCCACCTTTCCTTTGTGTTCTGGGATTTGGCTCTGCTGCCTTTCCCCCATCCCTGACCCCCTTTTCTCCTCTCCAGACCTAATCATGACCCTCACCCATTTTGTCCTCTCCAGACCCCATCTTTCCCCTGTGTCCCAGGTTGTGGCTCTGCTCCCTGACCCCCTTTTCTCCTCTCCAGACCCCCATCATGTCCCAGGTTGTGGCTCTCCTCCCTTGACCCCCCATTTTCTTCTCTCCAGACCCCATCGTGTCTCGAGATGTGGCTCTCCTGCTTTTCCCCCATCCCTGACCCCTTTTTCTGCTCTGCAGACCCCATCATGTCCCTGAATGGGGTTCTGCTGCCTGTCTCCCTGCCCTGACCCCCCTTTTCCACCCTCCAAACCCCATTTTCCCCCAGTGTTCTGGGATGGGGCTTTGCTGCCTGTCCCCCATTCCTGACCGTGCTTTTCTCCTCTCCAGACCCCATCTTCCCCCTCTGTCCCACGATGTGGCTCTGCTGCCTTTCCCCCATCCCTGACCCCATGTTCTCCTCTCCAGACCCCCACTTTCCCCTCTGTCCCAGGTTGTGTCTCTCCTCCCTGACCCCATTTTCTCTTCTTCAGACCCCATCATGACCCTAACCCCATTTTCTACTCTCCAGACCCCATCATGTCCCAGAATGGGGCTCTCCTGCCTTTTCCCCATCCCTGACCCCATTTTCTCCTCTCCAGACCCCTCTGTCCCAGGATGGGGTTCTGCTGCCTGTCCCCCATCCCTGACTCCATTTTCTCCTCTCCAGACCCCATTGTCTCCCAGGATGTGGCTCTCCTTCCTGTCCCCCCTTCCTGACCCCCTTTTCTCCTGACCCCATCATGACCCTAACCCCATTTTCTCCTCTCCAGACCCCATCTTTCCCCTATGTTCTGGGACAGGGCTCTCCTGCCTTTCCCCCATCCCTGACCCCCTTTTCTCCTCTCCAGACCCCATCATGACCCATTTTCATTTTCTCCTCTCCAGACCCCATCTTCCACCCTCGTCCGGACCCGGCCAGCACGGCGGTGTCCCGGGAGGCCCTGGCTCAGTGGTCAGTGCTGGACAGAGCCTACGAGACCGACCTGGGCGTGCTGCAGTGGGTGGAGGAGCTGGAGCAGCGCGTCCTCATGGCCGACCTGCAGATCCGGGTGGGTGCCAGCCAGGGCCATCCCAATTCCTGCTTGGTGGGGGAGATGAAACAGGAATTTCATATTAGAAATAGAAATAGAAATAGAAATAGAAATAGAAATAGAAATAGAAATTATAACTATAAATATAACTATAACTATAAATATAAATATAAATATAAATATAAATATAGTGGTGATAAATAATAATTAATAATATATTTATAAATATAATAATAATATAACAACAACAACACATATATAATAATATATTAGAATACTATATTATTAGTATAATAATATTAATATATTATTATACATTTTTTATTATTGATATTGTTGTTGTTATTATTAATTCATATTATAAATATAATAATATACTATGATATATAATATTTAATATAACATTTAATATAATTGTAATATAGATTATTATTATTATCATCATCATCATTACTATCGTTATTACTATCATTATTACTGTCATTATTACTATTATTACTACTATTATAAAATTCATATTGTAAATATGATTGTCTGGCCAAAGATTTTGAGAATATAGAAACTATAAGTAAGATTGAAATGAAAGCAAGTTTAGGTGAGCCGGGGGGGGGGATCACGGACAGACAGACACACAGACAGACACACAGACAGACAGGGTGAGGATGTTGGGGGAGATGAAACAGGAAAGCCTTATAAATATGATTGTCTGGCAAAAGATTTTTGAGATCATGGAAATTATAAGCGAGATTGAAATGAAAGCAAGCTTTGAGATCCTTTAGTTACTGAACAACTGGAAAACAATGGTGTGGCCAGCTGAAGGTGATCCCCTTTTGATGAAACAACACCCTCTGCTTGCAGACAGCTCCAAGGGGCAGAGCAGACCCTACAGCTTGGCAAAAGGGGTCCAAAGAGGAGATTTTAGGGTTTAAAACTACTCCAAAGAGGAGTTTTTAGGGTTTAAAATGTAACCCAGTGTGGTAATGTAGTGATTCTTATAGGCTGTATGGAAATGCTGTAGGATTTGTATCTTGGACTAGATCGGTTAGTGAGAATCAGAATATTCAACACAGAAGAAGGTTTATTGTATCGCAGGAACCTCATCCTCTTTTACTCTCTCTTTACCCTCTTTACTCTTCCTCACTCTCTCATCTCTTTACCACACTCTTGCCTTGTCTCTCTTTATCTCTCTCTCCCTCTTTGGGCCTGCTCTGAGCTGTGCCTGGCAGCTCCAGGCAGGTCCCTGCACTTGGCCCTTTGCAATAAACCCCAAGTTCTGCGACCAGAAGAAGATTTATTATATTATTATTTATTGTAGTACTATTATTATTATTATTATTATTATTATTATTATTATTATTATTATATTGTAACAGGAACCTCGTTCGCATATCCTCTCTTTTACCCTCTCTTACCCTCTCATCCTCTCTCTCTATCTCATCCTCTCCACGCCTCTCTTCTCTCAGTCCTGCTCTGAGCTGTCCCTGGCAGCTCCCAGCAGCTCCCTGCACTTTTCCCTTTGCAATAAACCCCAAATTCCACAACCAGAAGAAGATTTATTGTATTGTAACGGGGATCTCACTCTCTTATCCTCCTTTACCCTCTCATCCTCTCTCTCTCTCATCCTCTTTCCCCCTCTCTCCTCTCAGTCCTGCTCTGAGTTGTGCCTGGCAGCTCCCAGCAGGTCCCTTTGCAATAAACCCCAAATTTCACAACAAGAAGATTTATAATGGGAACTTCGCTCTCTCATCCTCTTTACCTCTATCTTTACCCCTCTCTTCTCTCAGTCCTGCTCTGAGCTGTGCCTGGCAGCTCCCAGCAGCTCCCTGCACTTGGCGCTTTGCAATAATCCCCAATTTCCACGACCAGAAGATTTATAACGGGAACCTCACTCACTCATCCTGTTTACCCCTCTCTCCTCTTTGGGGCTGCTCTGAGCTGTGCCTGGCAGCTCCCTGCACTTGTCCCTTTGCAATAAACCCCAAATTCCACGACCAGAATAAGATTTATTGTGTTGGAACGGGAACCTCGCTCTCTTACCCTTTCACTCTCTTACCTTTTTACTCTCTCCCTCTCTCATCCTCTCATCACACAGTGTGGTAATGCAATGATTCTTATAGGCTGTATGGAAATGCTATAGGATTTGTATCTTGTACTAGATTGGTCAGTGAGAATTAGAATATTTAACACAGAAGATGATTTATTGTATTGTAATGGGAACCTCACTCTCTTACCCTCTTACCCTCTCATCCTCTCTCTCATCCTCTCTCCCCCTCTCTTCTTTCAGTCCTGCTCTGAGCTGTGCCTGGCAGCTCCCAGCAGCTCCCTGCACTTGGCCCTTTGCAATAAACCCCAAGTTCCACAACTAGAAGAAGATTTATTGCATTGTAACAGGAACTTCACTCTCTCATCCTCTTTACCTCCCTCTTTACCTCTCTCTTTACCCCTCTCTCCTCTCAGTCCTGCTCTGAGCTGTGCCTGGCAGCTCCCATCAGGGTCCCTGCACTTGGCCCTTTGCAATAAACCCCAAATTCCACGGCCAGAACAAGATTTATAATGGAAACCTCATTCTCTCATCCTCTTTACCCCTCTCTTCTCTCAGTCCTGCTCCGAGCTGTGCCTGGCAGCTCCCAGCATCTCCCTTTCCAATAAACCCCAAATTCCACCACCTAGCTTCAGAAATCTCTCATCTCCATCCATCTCCACCCCCCAACACTCGCTGCCCACCAAGTGCCCACCACTGACCTCTCTCTCCCCTCCGCAGGGCTGGACGTGTCCGAGCCCGGACTCGAGCAGGGCCGACCTGCGGTACTGCGAGCACAAGGTGGAGCCCCTGGAGGACATCACGGTGCGCAGCAGCCGGCGGGAGGCGCCGCCCGTGCGCCGGGAGCTCACCAACCCGCTGGACCTGGCCGTGCTGCGCCTGGCGGCGCTGGAGCACAACCTGGAGCGCCGCTACCTCAAGGAGCCGCTGTGGCCGCAGCACGAGGTGGTGCTGGAGAAAGCCGTGCTGAGCAACCCCGAGGAGCTGGGGGCGGGCTCCACCGAGATGTGAGTGGGAAGGGGTTGGGAAAGGGGTTGTTGCATGGGAATTGGTGAGGAGGGGTCATTCTATGGGAAGTCCTGAGGAGGGGGCATTCCCTGGGAGTCCTGGGAGTTCCTGAGAAGGGGTCACTCCCTGGGAATTGCTGAGAAGGGGTCGTTCCTGAAGGGGTCATTCCTTGGGAATTGGTCAGGAGGGGTCATTCCCAAGCAGGGGTCATTCTCTGGGAGTTCCTGAGAAAGGGTCATTCCCTGGGAATTGGTGAGGAGGGGTCATTTTATGGGAATTGCTGAGGAGCAGTCATTCTATGGGAAGTCCTGAGGAGGGGTCATTTTATGGGAATTGGTGAGGAGGGATCATTCCCTGGGAATTGGTGAGGAGGGGTCATTCTATGGGAAGTCCTGAGGGAGGGGTCATTTTATGGGAATTGTTGAGGAGCGGTCATTCCCGAGAAGGAGTCATTCTATAGGAGTTCCTTGGGAATTGCTGAGGAGGGGTCATTCCCAATGGGGTCATTTCCCTGGGAAGTCCTGAGAAAGGGTCATTCCCAAAGGAGTCATTCCCTTGGAAGTCCTGAGAAGGGGTCATTCCCTGGGAATTGCTGAGAAAGTGTCATTTTATGGGAATTGCTGAGAAGGGCTCATTTCTGAGGAGGGGTCATTCCCTGGGAGTTGCTGAGGAGGGGTCATTTCCAGCCCCCTTGGGAATGTGAGGGTCAGCAGGGTTTGTCCTGGGGGTCTCCCAAGGATGGGATTCCTTCTTGGGGATGGGGTCTCTGAAGGATGAGGGTCTCTCAGAGGTATGGGAATGTCCTCTGGGGGTGGGGTGTCTGAAAGATGGGGTCTCTTTAAGGAATGGGGTCTCTCTCTGAAGGAAGGGGTCTCTCAAAGGGATGGGGTCTTTGAAAGATGGGATCTTTGAGGGATGGGGTCTCTGAGGGATGGGGTTTTCTCTGAGGGATGGGATCTCTCTGAGGGATGGGATCTCTCTGAAAGATGGAATCTCTCTCTGAAAGATGGGGTCTCTTCCTAGGGATGGGGTCTGTCAGGGATGGGGTCTCATGGGGGTCATCGAGGTCCTGCTCAAGGCTGATCAGCAACCAAAGCTCCTCTTTTTGGGATCCCTTTTGGGCTGTGGGGGGTTCCCCATGACCCAGCCGGGTTCCTGGGCCAGGGCAGGACCCCCGCGCTGGGCTGAGCCCCCCTCTGTCCCCACAGCTCATACGAGATCCTATGAGATGGGGGTCTCTCAGAGGGATGGGATCTCTCTGAGGGATGGGGATCTCCCCTGGGGACAGAGATCTCATGGGGGTCATCATAGTCCTGCTCGGGGCTGAGCAGCTGATCCTTCTGGGATCTTTTCTGGGATCCGTTTTGGGCTGTGGGGGGTTCCCCATGCCCTGGGCCTGGGCAGGACCCCCGTGCCGGGCTGAGCCCCCCTCTGTCCCCGCAGCTCGTACGAGATCACGCCGCGGGTGCGGACGTGGCGGCAGACGCTGGAGCGCTGCCGCAGCGCCGCCCAGGTGTCCCTGTGCCTCCTCCAGCTGGAGAAATCCATCGCCTGGGAGAAATCCGTCAACAGAGTGGTGAGACCCCGCCCTGGGAGGGGCAAAGGGGGGGTCCAAAGCAGCTCTGAGCCCCCCGTGTCCCCCCAGACCTGCCTGGTTTGCCGGAGAGGGGATGACGACGAGCACCTGCTGCTGTGCGACGGCTGCGACCGCGGCTGCCACCTCTACTGCCACCGGCCCCGCATGACAGAGGTGCCCGAGGGAGACTGGTTCTGCTCCGTCTGCGTGGCCAGGGTAGGTCGGGGGGCAGCCCTCAAACCCCACCGGGGTGGGCCAGGAGGGATTCCAGACCCTGCTGGGCACCCTGTCCCCGTGAGAGGTTCTGGTGAGGGGAGAAAGTCTGGTTCTCAAGAGGGATCCCCCTTGGGACCCCCATCCTCAGGGGAGATCCCAACTTTTGGGAGAGACCCCAATGGTCTCTGAGGGTCCTCTATGCTCCTGGGGGTCACTTTTCCTAGAAAAGACCCCAGTGGGACCCTCATATCTCTGGGAGGGACCCCCATATCATCAGGAGGGATCCCAAGCCCTGCTGGGCCCCCCATCCCCAGGAGAGGTTCTGGTGATGGGAGAACCTCTGGTTCCCAAGAGGGACCCCCATGGGACCCCCATCCCCCATTCTTGGGAGAGACCCCCAATGGTCTCTGAGGGTCCCCCATGCCCCTGGGGGTCTCTTTTCCCAGAAAAGACTCTTATCTCCAGGAGGGACCCTCATATCTGTGGGAGAGACCCCCATATCAGCAGGAGGGGTCCCCATCCCAGCACTGGTGACCCCAAAGGGACTCGCACCCCTCTGGGGTGAGGATTTGGTCCCCAGGAGAGACCCTGGTGGTATCTGAGAGACCCCCACCCCTAAAGGAGACCCTGGTGGTATCTGAGAGAACCTCAAACCTAGGAGAGACCTGCACCCCAGGAGAGACCCTCACCCCTAGGGTCGACCCTGATGGTATTTGAGAGACCCTGATGGTATCTGAGAGACCCCCACCCCTAGAGCAGACCCTAATGGTGTCTGAGATATCCTGGTGGTGTCTGAGAGACTCCCACCGCCAGGAGAGACCCCCACCCCTAGAGGAGACCCTGGTGTTGTCTGAGAGACCCTCACCCCTAGGAGGGACCCTCACCCCTAGGAAAGACCCCTCTGGTGTCTGAGGGACCCTGATGGTGTCTGGGAGACCCCCACCCATAGAGGAGACCCTGGTGGCCCTCCCATTGCTGTCCTGACCTCCAGGAGACCCTCTCATCCCCAGGAGACCCCATTGACCTCTGAGGGACCCTGGGTCACCCTGAGGGTCCCCTCAAGGCTCAGGCAGTGGAAACGAGCACAGGGGACAGAGGGTGACCCCTTTTCTGCCCCCCCCCCCCAGGCCGGGCAGTACCGGGACCCCATCTCCCCCCGGCGAGGCAAGAAACGGAAACGGGGCCGGGGGCTCGGGGGCAGCCCCGGCGAGGAGGAGGAGGAGGAGCCGAGCCCGCGGCGGCGCCGCCCGGCCCCGAGGCACCGGCGGGGGCTGCCCCCGGTGTCCCCCCGGTGCCGGCCCGGGGAGGCGCCGAGCCCAGCCCGCAGGAGGAGCGGGGCCCTGCGGGGGCAGCCCGGAGACCTGACCTACTGCGAGTGAGTGGGGAGGGGGCTGCGCCGGGGTCAGGGACCCCCTGCCAGTGAGTGGGGAGGGGGCTGCGGTGGGATCAGGGACCCTCTGTGAGTGAGTGGGGAGGGGGAAGTGTGGGGAGGGGGCTGCACTGGGGTCAGGGACTTAGGCGAGTGAGTGGGGCCGGGGAAATGTGGGGAGGGGGCTGCACCTGGGTCAGGGACCTTCTGCAGGAAATGGGGCGGGGGCTGTGGTGGGGTCAGGGACCCCCCGATGTTCTCCCTGGGACCTTCTGCGAGTGAGTGGGGCCAGGGGAAATGGGGAGGGGGCTGTGGTGGGATCAGGGACCCCCTGGCACCCAGGGCGAGGGAAGGGATTAGGGTCTTGACTCCCATGTTTCAGAAACGCTAATTTATTATTTTATTATATATGTGTATTATTTAAAATTATTATTTTATATTATATATGATATTAAAATTTAATATTTTATTATATAGGATATTAAAACTTATTATTTCATTATATATTAAGATTTATTTTATTATATATATGATATTGAAATATATTATTTTTATATAATAGATATGATACTAATTTTTTATTATATATTATATTAAAATTTATTAATTTATATATGATATATATGATATTAAAAGAAAATTATATATTAAAATTATACTAAAATAATAGAAAAGAATCTTGACTCCATGTTTCAGAAGGCTGATTTATTATTATATATTATGTTAAAATTTTGTATTTTATTATATATATGATATTAAAAATTATTTTATTATATATATGATATAATTAATTATTCTATATATTATATATATGATATTAAAAGTAAATTATATGTTAAAGCTACACTAAAAGAATAGAAGAGATGAGAATCTTGACTCCATGTTTCAGTATAGTTTTAATATCTCATTTTCTTTTAATATTATATATATAATAAAATAATAAATTTGAATATAATATCTATAAAAATAACAAATTTTAATATAATATATAATAAAATAATAAATTTAAATAAAAATCTATAATAAAATAATAAATCAGCCTTCTGAAACATGGAGTCAAGATTCTCGTTTCTTCTTTCTCGTCTCTTCTATTCTTTTAGTATCGTTTTAATATCTCATTTTCTTTTAATATCATATATATCAATAAATTTATATATATATATAATAAAATAATACATTTTAATATAATAAAATAATAAATCTGACTTCTGAAACGTGGAGTCAGACTCATCTCTTCCCTCACCCTGGCACCCCTGTGACCGCCGCCCCAATTGGTGACCCCGAGCGAAGAACAATCCCACCCTGAGGGAAGGATTTTTGCTAAAATCAGTCTGAGCCGTGTCCCCACGCTTTCCCAGGATCATCCTGATGGAGATGGAGTCTCACGAGGACGCCTGGCCCTTCCTGGAGCCCGTCAACCCCCGCCTGGTGCCCGGCTACCGCAGGATCATCAAGAGGCCCATGGACTTCAGCACCATGCGCGCCCGGCTGCTGCGGGGAGGGTGAGCTGGGCTGGGGGCTTCTCGGGGGGCTGGGGGGTTCTGATGGGGCTGGGGGCTCCTCCTGGGGCTGGGGGGTTCTCCTGGGGCTGGAGGACCCAGGTGGATCATCAAGAAGCCCATGGATTTTGGCACCATGCGCGCCCGGCTGCTGCGGGGAGGGTGAGCTGGGCTGGGGGCTTCTGGGGGGGCTGGGGGGTCCTTTTGGGGCTGGAGGACCCAGGTGGATCCTCAAGAAGCCCATGGACTTTGGCACCATGCATGCCTGGCTGCTCTGGGGAGGGTGAGCTGGGACGGGGGTCCTCATGGGGGCTGGGGGTTCCTTCTGAAGGTGGAGGGTCCTCCTGAGGCTGGGGGGTCATCCTGGGGGTGGGGGGGTTCTCCTGGAGGTGGGGGGTCCATTCAGGGCTGGCAGGGTCTGTCGCAGGGGTTGGATGTCCCTCCCAGCCCAGTGGTGTCCTTCAAAGGGATGAACTTTGTGGGTTTAGGGGTTCCTCCAGGGTTGGGGGTCCATCCAGGGCTCCCAGGGGTTGGATGTCCCTCAAAGGGATGACCTTTGTGGGTTTGGGGGTCCATCCAGGGCTGGAGGTTTCTGTTGAGAATGGGAGTCCCTCCAGGGCTGTGGGGATCTCTCCTGGGGATCCCATCCCTTCCTAGGAATGGGATTCCTTAGGACTTGATGGGATCTGATCCTCCCAGGGCTGTTGGGGTCTCTCCCAGGGATGGGGGGAATCGGTTCCCCTGTCAAATTTCCCTCGTGGGGTTGGGGTTCCTTTGGTGCCGAGGGGTCTCTCCCAAGGATGGGAGTCTCTCCTGGGTTTTGGGTGTCTCTCCTGAGAATCCCATCCCCTCCTGGGAATGGGAATGGGGTCCCTTAGGACTTGATTGTGTCTCTCTTGGGGATGGGGGGATCAGTTCCCCTCACGGGGATGGGGTTCCTTTGGTGCTCACGGGGGTCCCTCCCTAGGATGAGGGTCTCTCCTGAGTTCTGGGGGTCTTTCCTGGGGATCCCGTCCCTTCCTAGGAATGGGATTCCTTAGGATTTTATGGGATCTGAGCCTCCCAAGGATGAGGGTCTCTCCTGAGGATGTGGGTATCAGTTCCCCTCCCAAATTTCCCTTACGAGGACGGGGCTCTTTTGGTGCTCAGGGGGGTCTCTCCCAAGGATGGGGGTCCCTCCCAGGGCTGAGGGTCTCTCCTGGGTTTTGGGGGTCTCTCCTGGGTTTTGTGGGTCTTTCCTGGGGATCCCATCCCCTCCTGGAAATGGGAATGAGATTGATTGAGTCTCTCCTGGGGATGGGGGGGAATCAATTCCCCTCCCAAACCTCCCTCAAGGGGATGGGGTCCCTTTGCTCAGGGGGGTCTCTCCCAAGGATGGGGGTCTCTCCTGGGCTATTGGGGTCTCTCCTGGATTTTGGGGGTCTTTCCTTGGCTCTGGGGGTCTTTCCTGGGGATCCCATCCCCTCCTGGAAATGGAAATGGGGTTCCTTAGGACTT